ATACTATATTACTCTGTTTTTGCCGGGGAACTGGATCTTTGGGGTGAACTAATCTTTGTCGTAATGTGTTCAATCAAGCCTATTGTTAGTCGATGGTCCTATTTTGCATATGACTAACCTGTTTTTCTAGGTGGAGGCAGTGCTTATAAGTCTGAGTTTCACATGAAACTCAGACTGAAGAAGTCTCTTGGAGGAGAGACTAAACGTTTTACTAAAGAAGAACCATCCAGAGGACCTACTGATATTTTTTTGATCCAGCAATTAAAGTCAGTGTGTGAATAAACCAAGTATTACAAAGATCTGTTGCATTTAAATAGTTTATTTTGCTGCATTTAATCATGGATATAACATACAGAACCCTTTGTAATAAATGTAGTGATAGTAAAACAATATCAAAAACAAAAATAACACATTATTCCTCCTATTTAACACAAATATTTCAACATCTCTGACTTGCCATCTTTTTAAAACAATTTTATTTTCACTTTCATAGTTTTATCTTCAAACGCTTGTAGTTTTACCTGTCGTAGATGTTCATAGAAATGCTTTTTACAGCTTCTAGCCAAGATTCTGACATTTCTGTAGATACCAAACATGTCTATGATTAACTGAAAGAACTCATAGGAATTAGGGATGCACGATACATCGGTATYGATATCGGTATCGGCCGATATTGGCAATTTTTTAGAATGTCGTATCGGTCCGATATGTAAAACTGGGCCGATATTAACATCCGAGGTTGATTTCCCACTTTTTATCTTTGAGTTTTTGTTTTGGGAGGGGAGATGTTTGGTTGGGCTGCGTCTGTTTGATCATAATAATAGGGACGCTGCGTAGCCAGGAATGACTGAAGTAGAGTCATGTCAGAGGTCTGGTCATTTATTTATGGTATCAAAAAAAGACCCAAGTGTGTTTGTGTAATATCGGTTATCGGCCATAACAGCAATAWTTATATCGAACATCAATATCGGCTGAAATTTTCATATCGGTGCATYCCTAATAGTAATTAAAGTAGTTTTAGGTTTGGACTTAAGAGATGAATGAACCAATGGGCGGGCTGCATTTTGGTCACTCGTGGGCCAGATGTGGCCTGCGGGCCACCAGTTGAATAGCCCTGTATTAGGTCCTCCGTCCATGGCTCCCTCAATAGAGGGGGTCATGAATAATTATACAAAAAAAAAAAACAACAAAAACAAATCCAAGCCAAGTTTGATGAAGTTAGTTTTTACACTGACTGATATATGAATGTACACATTTGATACCCTAAGGGTTAAACAGAAGGCTCAAATAAGACTTTAAATATTTATGTGCATAGTGGTGCTGATTTGTTGTTTTGTTTTTTTAATAAAAAAATAATTATATTCATCACTCAAAGTCACAGCCCAATAGCTCTACTCTCATGGTGATAGAGTTCATCCACTCTTGCGGGATAATTCGAATGAAACGAGAGAAAATGGGAGGATAGATGTAGTTCTTCACATAGTCGCTGTTATTTGTGTTTCCGGAAAAGACCTAAAATTGAATAGAGAGAAAAAAGACTTTACAATCAATATTATATATATAATTTTCCAAAAATGGCTTAAGTAATCACTAGGTGTACATCTAAAACTGATCTTTGGAGTAAATCCAACTCAAGATGAAGCCAATAACCTTAAAACACCAAAACATTATAACTCAGTCAGTTTTATAGATATTTAGGTAAATTTRGATGTAGTAATAGCTTTGAAAGCATGTTGTGAAATATCATGAGATGGTACATAAWGTAATTTACAAGGTTTGGCCAAAACAGCCATGACATCATTTCTTCTCAGCATATTATTTCATTTGAAACTGTAACATGTAACAGGTGATGGGCTAACTGCTTCAAGTATTTGATCAAGTRAATTTGCTTTACCTTCACAGCCTTATCATCGTCATCTGAGTAAAAGGTCCAGTTTATTCCATTGTCACTGTACTTTAGATTGTAACTCATGACGTACATCTCCTTCCCAAACGACTTGGCTCCCTGTGTTATAATACCTGTGATCTTCTTGATGCGGGACAGCTCCACCTGAAGCCATTGATTTGTGTCACTATCCTAAATTAAACAGGACATGAAGACATTATCAGCTTAAATCACACATTTTCAAGGGTTTTACAATAGTATAGAAACAGCCTTTACTGTCCCACGGAGGGGACATTCAKGTGTAACAGCAGCAGTAWYAGTTCACAAAACAACATATCGCTACGCACCAATAGCAATAGTAGTAGTGGTAATATCAGATCAATTTGTAATAAATACAATCTCTGAAAATAGGCATTTTGCACATGAGAAAAAAATGAATATATTTTGTTTTTACTTTAGCCTTCCATGCATTGATGGCTCCCTGTTTGTTTAGACGAGCAAGTGAAGGTTTCCAGGGTGACATCCAGCTGGAAGCTGTGGAGCTGGCTGTTATGTGATGGTCTTTGATCAGTCCACTTTCCATCCCAAGAGGTAACGAGCAGCCTAACAACACACATTAGACATATGTTGCTATTATATCACAGGTAAATAAATATACTGTAGAAGCTAGCTTAGGGAAAAAAATTGACMTCTGTCAAAAGGCAAAGGTGGATGATAATGTTTTTGTCTGTGTGCGTTGTTGATCCATATCAAGATGGCTGCCACAGCCAACTGACTAGATCAGGGCTTCTTAACCTTTTAGACCTCGGGGCCCAATTTGTTGAACATAAAGTGTCACGAGGTCCAGTCAGACATTACCAATGTATGGATCAAAATGATAATTATTCTAATCTAAATCTTGGTTTAACTTTTATTGTTTTTGCAGTATAACTAAACTATCATAACTAACATAACTAAATTAAATACACTTACAGTTTAAAAGTCAAACTCCTGTCAAATAATCACAAG